CCATTCCGCGGGAGAAAGATGAGGCTTTCTACTCCCGTAAAGATTTACACCCTCGGAAACCCTGTACAGGGTCGCTATGAGTTGGAACCGACTCAAAGGCACTTAACAACAACAACAACCAAGGCATTGTGATGTTGTATTTATATTTGAGTGATGATTGATTGTACATTGGTATGTTCTGAGGCACTCATCACCTGTCTCCCTGTGGATGTGGTAGAGGCCAGAAGTGTGAACGCAGTTCTGTGTTCACTGTTTGTATAGTGTTCAGGGTGGGTTCACCTGCCTACATAAATAGGGATGCTATGTCCTGTGTCTGACCCTAGGCAGAGCAGAGTCTTCCAAAGAGGGAGTGGGTGACACTGGCCTCTGGGTTGCTGGGGACTAGACTGGCTGTACCCACTTGCCACTTGCCATGTGACGGTTTGGTGAACCCTTCACATCATGTTAGACTATAATCTCTGTGGAAGCAGACTGCCACATCTTTCTCTTGTGCACTTAACCACTGACTGTGCTACAGGGGTTCACATTAGTGCTCTTAAATGACTTTCCTACTCTTGCCCAGTCTTGACCCTTGGACATTTACCTGTTGGTTATATATGCTTATCTGTGAGTCTTTTGTTATTGTTTTTAATTGGAATTTACTCATTGAAGCTGAAGTATCTTTTTCATATGGGATGGATAAAAGTCACAATAGAACAATGTTAGCCCTTGCTCTATACAAACTATTACATATATTGTTGATGGAACATAAAAATCAGAAAAAGATACCATCCAAGATCGAAAAGGAATCATACAAGAAAAGTAATTGGAGACAGTATATGGAAGTTGGCTGTTTTAGACTGAATATGGAATTGTATGCTCAGAGACCAGTTTTTATCTTGTTCTTCGGCCTTTTTTTGTTTTTCAAATCCTTTTTTAAGAACAAGTTCTATAGGGTTTTCCCACAAGCATTAAACACTTATCACATGCTCCCATGGAGATTTAACACCTTGGAAACCCTGTACAGGATAGCTGTGAGTTGAAATGGAGTTGACAGCACTTAACAGCAACAGGATTTTGCTAGTCACTAAGCTGAATATAAAATTAGGCAGTATGTTATTTTAATGTTGCATAGAACATGAAACAGTATCTCACATCTTTGTGAAAGCCCCATGTTTGAAAGACTGCTTACAAATCTATCCACTTATGTCATGTGTATATTTCTACAAATTAATTCTTTACTTTAAATAACAGAAATGCCCCTTTGGAGCCTTATCAATTGTCAATTTACCAAGCAACTTGGAAAAAGAAACAACACATCGATATTGTGCCAATGCCTTCAAACTTCACAGGTATATTTTCAAGTCATCATTTTGATTTACTTCAGTCAACATTAAGAGTAAAATACAGTAAGAATTTTCAGAGAACATGAAAAATGCAAAGAAAATGTATTAATCATTGCTAAAAAGTATAATATGATAACATGTAGATTCGTTGTATGTATCAATACTTCTGGCTAGCATTGGAATTATCTGGTAGACGTCTTAAAATTATTAATGCCCAGGTTTGCCTCAGATGAGTTGTATGAGGGGGCTAAAACTTTGTAGAAAAATGGAATAAAAAGATAGTGGGATTTTCCCACACTTTTTTGAAGCTCTCTCATGTAAGAATTTCTGACTTGGTGGGTCTGGGTCAGTATGTTTCAAGGGCTCCCAGATGATTCCAATGTACAAAGTTGAGACTCACTGATGTATATAGTATCTAGTTCCCCAAAATGGCTTTTAAGAGAACTTGTCTTTGATTTTGTTTATATATTAATTTTATAATCTACAGAGACTATTAGTCTAAACTTAGACATTTTATTAAATCACACTCAGGGAAATTTTATCTGCTGAACACTAGTATTTTGATTCTGGGAGTCTAGTTTTAACTAATAAAAAGGTATTTCTCAACCTGCCAGCTTAAAAGATCCTACTGCAGCAGGGAGAATGAAGTGGAATATTTCTGGTTGATGAGACACTTCTCTCCTTGTAAGTAAATGGCAGGCCAAAAAAAACGAGGGGAAAAAAAGGTGTGAGGTTGTACCTGCTATGTAATTTTCTACCAAAGCATTTTGTTATACATTAAAACTGAACCTTTTATGTAAAACAAGAAATATTTAAATGAAAGTTGAATAAATAAAATTTCAAGTAATATTGGTCAGGTATGCATTTCTAACAATTAATAATTTTACATTAATCTTGGCTGGTTTGTTTGTTTTTTCTAATAGCCAATAATGTCTTACCTATAACTCTTAGTTTTTTAATGGATGTGTATGCAGTGCAAATGAATTAAAATACATTATCCTGATATTGCAGGTTATTTCTGCCTAAGTCTAAATTATTTTACTTTTATATACTTATAACAGGTTGCCTATTCCTCGTCCTGGTGAAGTTTTGGGATTGGTTGGAACTAATGGTATTGGAAAGTCAACTGCTTTAAAAATTTTAGCTGGAAAACAAAAACCAAATCTTGGAAAGTATGATGTATGTATTCTACCTTATAGAATGAGTATTTTGGATTTTAGATTGGTTTTGTGAGACTTGGTGTTTTGTTTTGTTTTTTTCATCATATATTTTCAAAATTCGCACAATTAGTGCTGAAAATTTTATTGATGTATATAGTGGTTACAAATCAGGCTGCGAACCTCAAAGTAAGCAATTCAAAACTACCCGCTGTTCCGCGGGAGAAAAATGAGGCTTTCTGCTCCCATAAAGATTTACAGCCTCGGAAACCCTGTTCAGGGTCGCTATGGGTCAGACCGACTTGATGGCACTTGACAACATATGTGTGTGTGTGTGTGTATATATATATATATATAGTTATTCCTTTTTAATTAAAATTAGTCCTGTGGTGCTATGGGATAAAGCACTGGACCTTAAGGTCGGTTTGAATGACAAGGTCGATGGTTCAAATTCACCAGCCAGTCCTTGGAAACCCTGTTCAGGGTCGCCATGAGTTGGAACTGAATCAACAGCATGTAACAACAATATTTTCAAAATTCATGCACTTAATGCTGAGAAATTATTTATATAAATAAAGCTATTCCTTACTAATTAAAATTAGTTAATGGTACGTAACTGGTAATTCTTAGCTTCCTTAAATTGTTGGAGTTTTGATAAACCTTGCTTTAAAATGAAATCCACCTCTAGTCTTTTAAGTTTGAAGCCAAAAATATTCTATTTGAATATGGCAGGGCTTCAAAAATTTCTGAAAAATGAAATTAAAAGACAGTGGAAATCTTTTCATGAACTCTTTGAAGCTCCTGTGTATGTTATATTTTCTGTTGATGAAAAACCTAAAACATATTAGACACTAAGAAAATATTTCTTTGATGTCATACTAAGCTTTGTTATACTTTTATAAACCATCCTCTTTGCAATCATAGTATTAATTTAAATTCATATAACAATATTTTTATAGGATCCACCTGATTGGCAGGAAATTTTGACTTACTTCAGAGGATCTGAATTGCAAAATTATTTTACCAAGATTCTAGAAGATGACCTAAAAGCCATTATCAAACCTCAATATGTGGACCAGATTCCCAAGGCTGCAAAGGTGAGTTTTCTTTTTAGGAAGAATTTTTCTGTTGTAGATATTAGTGTAGATACAAAACACATATTATAGTAAACTTATAGTGGTAACTGCTTTTGGTATATCATAACAGGGGACTGTGGGATCTATTTTGGACCGAAAGGATGAAACAAAGACGCAGGCAATTGTATGTCAACAGCTTGGTAAGTGTTTGTTTTGTGTATGTGCTTTAGTAGGTTTTCCACTTACATTACAAAGGTATCCATTGTTATATGGGTTGCTGAAATAACTGGGAAAGTCTCCAGTATTTGTCATTTTTATATTACTTGATTCTCAGCTGAAATATTCAAACCCATGAGTGATATAACATGCAGTTTACATTTTGCCTGGAAGAGTTAAAAAGAAATCTTATAATATTAAGCACAATGCCTCTATGTTATTTGTAGATTTAACCCATCTAAAAGAACGAAATGTTGAAGATCTTTCGGGAGGAGAGTTGCAGAGATTTGCTTGTGCTGTTGTTTGCATACAGAAAGCTGATATGTAGGTTACATTTTCCTCTTTTGTATATCTTAATCCTTATTTTAGAGTTTTTATTTATAATACTGCTTATGTAGCAGTAGTTTTGAGAGAAATTAATAGAAATAATATCTAAGGCACTAATTTCTTTATAAGTAATTTTAACTTTAGGAATAGGTTCTAAAGCTTTTTTATAGATAAAGTTAATTATTTCAAATCCTCTTTTTGTATTTAAAAAAAGAACGCTTTAAGAGTTAAGCTATCCAACCAGGCCTGGACGCTTTATAAATGTCTCTAGTAGAAAAGGAAGTCTAAATTCTTCATCGGGTGGCATGCCATATAAGGAAAAAAAGGTAATTAGGGCAGGGGGAGTTTATTATCTGCCTTCTAGTGCTTTCACCCAGAGATTTGTTGCTCTAGTCCTTTTCTACATTTATACTCTGGCGAGTAGCGTTGTGGGATAAAGCAGTGAACCAGAACCACCTTGGATAGCACTTAACAATAATCCAAGGCTGGTTAGTTCTACTACATATTCTTAAGGTAGCTGCCGATTTATAAATTGACCTAATCTGGAGGCTCTCCCAGGCTTGATGTGCTTGTCAAAGTTATTTCCTCCTTCCACTTCTGAACAAAAAACGTGTTTTCATTACAAGTGAGCTTTCCATTTTGTATATAAGGAGATTTTTTTGTTTGTTTAATTAGAGACTATATCACAGTCCTTTAAAATAGCATACAAGATAGGATTAGGTCATGTTTATTCAAATTAATTATTTTTTTCTTTTTTAATATAGTTTCATGTTCGATGAACCTTCTAGTTACCTAGATGTCAAGCAACGTTTAAAGGCTGCTATTACTATACGATCTCTAATAAATCCAGATAGGTAAGTACAGCTCTGATATATGAATGTGTTTCCTAATTAAATACTGGTACCATCAGTGTCATCTACAAATTTTCTATTTTGATTATAGCTACCACCTGAACCTTACCTGCTTTATAGAACCAGAGCTTAGGTTCTTAGTACTAATTCACTTATTACCACCCGTTTCCTGGGAGCATATAAATAATATTTGGAAGTTACATGCAAACTTTGGCATATATGCGTGATTTTCTGGGATGCAAATTCATAGCTCTTACCAGATCTTAAAATGGATATGTGAAAAGAGAAAAAACTGGTTTAGATCGTTATAAAATGTGTCACACTAATTGCATTTGTCGTGAGCTTGCCAAGGAAAATAAAAAAATTTAATAACCTTTGTTAAGTATTCACAACAGCCAGTATTTATTTGGTACTTTTATAGGTTTCAGAGTTTTAAAATACACGGTCTCATTTGATTCTCATAGTAAATCTTAATGAATTAGAATCTTTAAGTGGTAATTCCATTTCATAAAGGAAAAAGTTTAGAATCAGAAAAACAAGCTATTTGCTCTCCACATTACAAATTTACTACATGACAAAATTATGAGCAGAACTCAGGGTGTTTTTATAAAGTAACATCAGTATGCACGAAAACATTCTCTTTATGACCTTCACTGAAGTTTATATGTAGAATATATTTTTTGCCATTTGGTCTTTTATGTTACTGTTCTTTATTGATTCCTTATCTTTCCTAGCTGAATTCAGCTTAAGGATTCTGTAATATTTTCTCAGCATTCCTACTATAGCTAGCATTGATGGTGACAGTGGTTATATGCCATGCAGTCAATTCCAACTCATAGAGAGCCTATTTAGGGTTTCCAAGGCTGTAAATCTTTATAGGAGCAGAAAGCCTCATCTTTGTCCCACGGAACTGCTGGTAGTTTCAAACTGCTGACCATAAGATTAGCAGCCCAGCTCATAACCACTGTGCTACCAGAGCTCCTATCTAGCATTGGAGAGGCCAGATAAAAGGTTTAATACATAAAATGTTTAGGCTGTATCTGAATTATACATATGACTATTATTTCTACCTCATGAAATTTATTTAAAATTTTACCATAACACATTTGTTTGACATACCCATAAGTAATTTAACACATGCACATTGAGTTCAAATAAAATATTTTATGGCTTTTGCTTAATATGGTCTTCCTTAAAATTCACAACTGTAGTAAAAAATGCATTCTTATTAATTCTATATATTATGTCACATTTAAGAATATTACAATCTCTTTTGATTTCCAGGTATATCATTGTGGTGGAGCATGATCTAAGTGTATTAGACTATCTCTCTGACTTCATCTGCTGTTTATATGGTGTACCAAGTGCTTATGGTGTTGTCACCATGCCTTTTAGTGTAAGAGAAGGTAACTTGAAAAACTATTTTCATATTTGTTGTATTCTCTTCCATTCTAATACTTAGAAAATATATTATTGTTAATACTAAGTAGGTTGAGATTCTGGTCCTTTAGGATAAGCACTGTACTGTTGACCAGAAGGTTGGCAGTTCAAACCCACCAACCACTCCAGGGAAATCTTGTACAGGATCACTGTGAGTTGGAACCAACTTGACAACCCTTAACAACAACTAAGTAGGTTGCTGCACATTTTTTCGGCCTCCCACCAGCACCTCCAGCAGCAGTGGTGGCAACAGATGACAGCTTGGACAGTATGACCAGAAGCAGACTTTCATAAGATTTTAATATGGCATTAATATACAGAAATTATTGTGGATGATAAGTGACATATGTTGTTGTTTGGTGCCATGGAGTCCATTCTGATGTGTAGCGACCCTGTGTATAACAGAACAAAACATAAGCCAGTTTTGCACTGTCCTCACGACTGTTAAACTTGAGCCCATTGCTGCTGCCAATTGTATCATTCCATCTTGTTGGGGGTTTTCCTCTTTTTTGTTGACCTTCCACTTTACCAAGCATACTATCCTTCATAAAAATATATCAGAAGAGACGAAATTCAGCACCATAATTCAGATGTATCGATTCTTACCCAGTCTTCATTTTTCTTTGTCTAACTTTCACGTGCATATGAGACAATTGAAAATACAATGGCTTGAGATGTCTGTAGTTCCATGTCCTCTTCTGAAACCATCTTAAATTTCTGGCACTTGTCTGTCAACATATTGGTGATACAACTGTTCTTGAATTTTGAATTATGTTCAGCAAACATTTTCTTGCTTGTAAATATTAATGATACTGCCATTGACGATTTCTGCATTCCCTTGAGTTACCTCTCTTGGAATGGGCACAGATATGAATCTCTTCCAGTTGGTTGGCCAGGTAGCTGGTTGTCTTCCCGATTTTATGGCGTAGGTGAATGAGCCCCTCCTTTTTGTTTGTTGGAATATTTTAATTTTCTTCAGTTCCTGTATTCTTGTTCTCTGCCAATGCCTTCAGGGCTACTTGTACTTCTTTTAGTACCATTAGTTCTTGCTGCTTCTTGAAATGATTGAACATCAATTTTATTTTGATATGGTGACTCTGTTCAATCAGTAATGCAAATCAGACTTGAATTTTTTCCTTCGGTTCTTTCAGCTTCAGAAATGCTGAGCATGTTCTTCCCTTTTGGTTTCTAACACCAGGTTTCTAGCACCTTTACTTAATGCAATAGAGGTAAAGACTTTTTGGGCTTTGAAGCCTTTTGTTTGGACACATTTTTAAATTGACAAAATATTGCAACAGGAAGGTAAAGACTAGTTGTGTCTTTAGAGTAAGGTCTCTTATTTATCGTACCTGATAAATTTAGTGCCTAGACTAAATGGCTACTTAAGTCCTTGAAGTTCTCGAGTTTCTTAGTTAATTCTTAGTATCATAACCTCATGTTTACAGTTTTTAACAGTTAAAGATGGAAAAAAAAACACGTTTTGGTGAAATAAATGTATCTGTTCATTGATTCTGTAAGCAAGTATTTACTTAACTCCTCTGTTCTAGGTTGAGAATTTACTATAGGTAAGCAAAACAAACAAAGATTGCCATCGTGGGCCTTAGGATTTTAATAGGAAGAGATTCTCAGGGCCAGTATGTAGCTTTACTTTCTTTTAGAATCTGTTTAGATACTGGTGTTTATCTTTGCACAAGTAAAGCAAAAAACACATATGTTAAACTAAACCAATTACTGTCTTATGATCTGCAAACATCTGAAAAAAATCAATAAATGTTGCTTCAAAGTGTATGTTATCCCACATTTGAAAATTGAATATTTACTATATTGTTTATTTAAAATATTATTTCCCAGACTTGTGATTTTATATCAGTTAATAAAAATTTTCCACTTTTACCTAGTCTATTTCTAATTGTAATTTTTTCTTTTAAAATAGAACAGAAGTGATAAGGTCACTGCTATGTTTTGCACCTGATATCAAAAATCTTACATAAAAATTACATATCATAAAGAAAAACCTTAGCGTTCCTTGTGTGCCTGTGTGCACACAGATTACTTAAACTTCCACTGTTGTCATTGTTGTTAAGTGCCGTCTAGTTGGTTCTAACTCATAGCAAGCCTATGTAGGGATTCCGAGAAGCGGCTCTTAAATTTGAACTGCCAGTCTTGTGGTTCAAACTGACCTTGTGGGAGAGTGCTTATCCTACAGCACAACACCAGCACTACTAAACTTCCATTAGATACATAAATATAAATATAACACTGTATTGACACTTCATTGCATGCAGACCTGCATATTATCAAGAATCTAGAGTAATTTAAATCTATATGTAGATTATAATATGCTCCGAGAGAGCCTAGGTTTGGTACTTGTACGGTGCCTTCTCGTTAAAGAAAAATTTTAGTCTATAATTGATCTTAATATATTGATAACAACTTTCTTTCCAACAGGCATAAACATTTTCTTAGATGGCTATGTTCCAACAGAAAACTTGAGATTCAGAGATGCATCACTTGTTTTTAAAGTGGCTGAGACAGCAAATGAAGAAGAAGTTAAAAAGATGTGTATGTATAAATATCCAGGAATGAGGAAAAAGATGGGAGAGTTTGAATTAGGAATTGTAGCTGGAGAGTTTACAGATTCTGAAATCATGGTGATGCTGGGGGAAAATGGTAAGTTTTCCTTATTTTGTGGTAATTTGTAATTCACTGTACCCAGTTAACTTAGCTGAGAGCTGAATTGAATCCATTTATTTCTGAGGATAACTTCATATTTCTTTAACTATAATTCATTCTCACTGTCATTCAAGTTCTTGTATAACATTCAGTGAAAATCATTTTTTTTCTGAGCTGTTCTTTTGATAACATAAATTTGATGGAGCAGTTATTTATCTTGAATACTGACTAAGAACAAAAGGATAAGTTGATAGTTCAAAGCAAATAAAATTTTCTTGTCTCCATTTGGAGCTTTCCTTGTATAAAATTTAGGTTAGTTTACCTTTGTAAATGAAGTCCTGGTGTGGTGCTGAACGATAAGCACTCAACTATAAGGTCAGTTTGAATGGCAAGGTCAGCAGTTCAACCTTGCCTCCTTCTCCAAAGAAACCACTGTGAGTTGGAACAGACTCAATGGCACCTAACAACCTTTGTGAATAGCTGTGTTACTGTCATTTTAAATATTAGGTTACCATCCGAAGTAAAGGAGTCCTGATGTAGGTTAAAGCACTGAACCGCAAAGTCGGTTTGAACCACTCTTTGGAAACCCTAAACAGGGTCACTGTGAGTCGGAACCAACTCCATAGTAACAACAACAACCAGAACTATAGTTGTGAGATAAATTTGACTGCCAAATATATGCTATTACTTTCATGATTAAAAATATATTTGATTTATAATCTCTGCTCACTTAAAACTAGAAATAAATATTAGGTACTTTGAATTAGATTATAGTTAATTTAACTAAGTCTTTTATATAAATAAACTTTAAATAATAGTAATTGTCATAAAACAGTCTGGATTATTGTAACAATGAATGGTATCTGTTATTTTAATAGAACTTATATTTTGAAAATGAACCTGACTTATTTCGTATAGACTTAGACCCAGCACTTTTTAAAATGGTCATTTCAAGCATCGTTGTTGTTAAGAGCTATCAAGTCAATTCTGACTCATAGCGAACCTATATAGGATTTCCAAGGAACAACTGGTGAGCTTGAACCACTGACCTTGCAATTCAAACGAGTTTGTAGTTTTATGCATTAGCCCACAGCGCCACACCAGAACTCAATTAGTTAGTCTGTATTCCTCCCAATTAGAAACGTGAACAAAGTAAGACATAATGATTTGCTCTAAATGCAAAGTGTATTTCATGTGAATGTGCTGTATCTTGTGTTGCCAGGTACTGGTAAAACGACATTTATCAGAATGCTTGCTGGAAGGCTTAAACCTGATGAAGGAGGTACTGTTTTAATATTAAGTGTTTTCACTGTGTTCTACAAAGTAAATTTTTAAGATCTGGACAGTTTACAGTGTCTTCTTTATTTGCATTATTGTATAGGAGAAGTACCTGTTCTAAATGTCAGTTATAAGCCACAGAAGATCAGTCCCAAATCAACTGTGAGTTTTTATTCTATTATTTGGTGATTAAAGCAAAAAGGTTATATGTATTTATTTTTTAATTTTTTACTTTTTTAAAGTCTTCTCCAAATTAGATTCTGTATATTTTTGTCAACAGTGGCTAAGGTCTGTGGCAATTTATTCATTTATTTTACTGGGAGAAATGTGCTTAAAATCTATATAGCATCTTTTTCCAAAGTAAACCTTTAATAAAACTTGATAGGATTTCTGCTGCAAATGACACCATCAAGAAAAGTGAAAAGACAACCCACTGAATCTGAGAAAATATATATAAATCATATGGATTGAAACCTGTGAGCACTGGGACTCACCTGGACTATTTTATTTTTCCCTGTCTCTTGATTCCAGGTCAGAGTTTTCTGCCTTTGATAGGGTGCAGTCTTAGCATTTCTCTAGCACTTTGTATTGTTGCTGTTACTGCCTTTGAGTTGGTTTAATTCATAGCGACCCTATATGAGATTTCCAAGGAACACCTGGTGGGTTTGAACCACGAATCTTATAGTTAGCAATCTAGTGCTTATCCTACTGCTCCACACCAGGACTGCTAACAGGACTCTTGCTAGTGGAAAATATTTAAGTATTCCTGTGTTCCTTCTTTGGCAGTTTACACCTTACACAGGCTTCAGATTTTGCAGGGTCACTGTGAGTTAGAAGAGTCCTGGTAAGTGGTTCAAACCCACCAGCAACTTTATGGAAACTTTATGCAGAGTCGTTATGAGTCAGAACTGACTCAGTGGCACTTAACAACAATTGTATCTAAAGTGTCTGTTGGATGGGTACTGGACCGAAAAGGTCTGCAGCTGAAATCCACAAGCCATTCCTCTAAAACCCTGTACAGGGTTGCTGTGTCAGAACCATCTCAACATTAGTAACATAGTATTGTGACGTGCTATCGAGTTGGTTCTAATTCATACTGACTCCATATAGGACTTCTGAGAAACAGCTGGTGGATTTGAACAGCCGGCCTTGTGGTTAGCCAGTTCAGTACTTATTCCTACAGCCCCACACTAGGACTCCTCGTAATTGTTGTTAAGTGTCATCGAGTGGGCATAGCAACCCTGTATAGAGTTTCCAAGGAGCAGCTGGTGAGTTTGAACTGCGACCTCCACTTTCAGACCCACCTTTTACTCCAGTGATTTATCCTACAGTGCCACAACAGGATTCTATATGTTTTGTATCAAACAGAATTATCATTAATGGTTAAGCAAATGCAAATCAACACTATAATTGGATATAACCTTCATGCCTACTTGTTGTAAAGTGCCATTGAGTTGGTTCCGACCCATAGCGACCCTGTATTGGGTTTCCGAGGACCAGCTGGTGAGCTTGAACCACCAACTTTGTAGTTCAAATGGCTTTGTGGTCTGATGCATTCACCCAGAGCACCACACCAGGATTCCTCATACCTACTAGGATAGCTTAAGTTTAAAATATTGGTGAGGATGTGCAGTAGCTTTAACCCTCAGACATTTCCAATGAATATGAAAAGATTCAGCCGAGTAGAACAGTCTGGCAGTTCATCAAATAATTGAATATAGTTTCTTATGAACCAGCAATTCTACGCCTGAGAAACACATTTAAACACCAAAACTTACACTAAAATGTTCAGCTTTATATACAGATGTTCATATTAGCATTATTCATTGATAACTGCCCTGGCAGTCTAAAAATCTCAGTGTCCATCACTTGATGACTAGATAAACAAAAAGTAGTATAACCATCTCTATAAAGTAATATTATTTGACCATAAAAAAGTAAATGAAGTAATGACACATGTTACAATAGGTATCAGTGCCTCAACACTTGCTTGGTGGTATGCCTTTCTGAGAAGGTTTAACTTGTATCCACAGTGTCACACAGTAATCCTGGTATGGCTCTATAGGATAAGTGCTAGCACTTATCCTACAAATAAAGCACAAAGTCGGCAATTCAAACTCAACAACTGCTACTTGGAAACCCTATACAGGGTCACTGTAAGTCGTAACTCATTTGGTGTAGCACTTTACAACTAAACTTGTAATAAAAATTTTACTATTGAACTTTGTAGAACTTTGTTCTCAGAGCCTACCCTGCTCTGAATAACAGGCAAATGAATCTTAGGATTCATCCCTAGTGCTTTAACATGCATTTTGTGTTGTTTCGTACTGATTGCTTCAGGTTGCTTGATTTCTGAAGAAGTAATTCTGCCTTCAGAATTATTCCTCCTTTAAAATGATTTATAACTGAAATAGTCATTTCATTACTATGTTCAGATTTTTAAGATTTTTATTATTTTTGTATTTACTTGATATGGATTTTGTATAGAAAATTCCAAAGTATATCAGCACAAAAGTGCTACAGTATCTGTTGGTGTCAAATTGGTATACTTTTGCTTTGGAATTCAACCTTATTACGAGTCATAAGTTAGAAGAGTTCTCTATTGAAATTTTTTTAATTTAAATATTTTCCATTAAAAACAGGGAAGTGTTCGCCAATTACTACATGAAAAAATAAGAGATGCATACACTCATCCACAGTTTGTGACTGATGTAATGAAACCTCTACAAATTGAAAACATCATTGATCAAGAGGTACTTCAATATACTTATTTTTGCTTCTTAAACTTTGGTGTTTCCTGATGGTTCACTAAGTAAACTTCTTCTCCAAATAGGTACAGACATTATCTGGTGGTGAACTGCAGCGAGTAGCCTTAGCTCTTTGTTTGGGTAAACCTGCTGATGTGTATTTAATTGATGAACCGTCTGCATATTTGGATTCTGAGCAAAGATTGATGGCAGCAAGAGTAGTCAAACGGTAAATGCCTTGCACATAAGAGTATTTTTTGGGTATGTGTAGTGGCGTACAGGTATGCTTTATATAACATTTGCCTTTTATGATAAGATGCTATTTATAAAACATTTCAAAATTATCTTATTTTTAGCTTCATCCTCCATGCCAAAAAGACAGCCTTTGTTGTGGAACATGACTTCATCATGGCTACCTATCTAGCAGATCGGGTCATTGTTTTTGATGGTATTCCATCTAAGAACACAGTTGCAAACAGGTAAAAAAAAAAAAAAAATGTTCACAGTTAATTCTATTGTTGTGGTGGTTGTTAGGTGCTGTCAAAGTGCTCCAACTCATAGCAAACCTATGCACAACAGAATGAAACGCTGCCCGGTCCTCCACCATCCTCACAGTCATTACATTTGAGCCAATTGTTGCTACCACTGTGTCAATCCATCTCAATGGAGGGTGGTGGGGAGGGGGTCTTCCTCTTTTCCACTTTACCAAGCATGATTTCCTTCTCCAAGGACTGGTCCCTACTAACAACATGTCCAAGTAAGAGAGCGATGGAGTTTTACCATCCTCATTTCTAAGGAGCATTCTAACTGAGATATTTTTCTTCTTCGTGCAGTCTGTGGTATTCTCTAGCACTGTAACTCACATATAGTGATTTCTGTCCAGCCTTCCTTACTCATTATCCACCTTTCACCTGCATGTGAGGCCAGTGGAAATACCATGGCTTGGGTCAGGCACACCTTAATCCTCAAACTAATATCTTTGCTTTTTAACCCTGTTTTTAAAAGGTTTTTTGCAGCAGATTTTCCTAATGTAGTATATCTTTTGATTTCTTGACTGCTGCTTCCATGAGTGTTGATTGTGGATCAGAGTAGAAGAGTCTTTGGCAACTTCAGTCTTTCTCCATTTACATTGAGATGCAGTCCATCCTGAAGGCTGTAATCTGATCTTCATCATTAAGCATTTTAAGTCCTCTTCACTTCTAGCAGGCAGGGGGTTGTGTCGTCTGCATATCTATCGCAGATTGTTGAGTCTTCCACCAATTCTGATGCCACGTTATTCATTTAATTCAGCTTCTCAAATTATTTGCTCAGCATACAGATTGAATGAGAATGGTGAAAGGAAATAACCCTGGAGCATACCTTTCCTGATTTAAACCATTCATTGTCCCCTTGTTCTGTTTTAACAGCTGCTTCTTGGTTTTGTACAGATTCCTCTTGAACACAATGAAGTGTTGTGAAATTCCCAGTGTTCCCAGTGGTACCATAGTTACTTGGAGTTACCATACAGTTGTATGGTACCAGTGGTACCATAATTACCATACAGTTGAATGCCTTTCATAGTGAATAAGAATAAAGCACAAGTAAACATCCTTCTGTTCCTTTCTGCTTTCAACCAAGTAAACATCCTTCTGTTCCTTTCTGCTTTCAGCCAAGAGATAGCTGAAATTAGCAGTATACCTTGTATCACCTAGATCCACTCCCTCTTCTAACTTGCTTGAATTTCATGTATTACTGCACTGTTTTTTAACTATTTTCAGCAAAATTTTACTTGCATGTGATATTAACTATGTTATTCGATGATTTCTACTTACTGTTTTGTCACCTTTCTTAGGAATGGATAAATAATGGATTTTCTCCAGTAAGTTGGAGAAAATTAAACATATGCTACTTCTTGAAATGATTGAACAGAGACTAATCTTTTTGGCACAGTGACTGTATTCCTTCCATCTTTTCAATGCTTTCTGCATCATTCACTGTCCATGAAGGGCTTCAGTATTGCAAGTCTAGGCTTGAATTTTTTCTTCAGTTCTTACAGCTTACAAAATTCTGAACTTTGTTTTTCCCTTTTGCTTTTTTTGTTTTTTATTGTGAATTGAGTGAAAGTTTACATGGCAAATCATTAGTTTTACATTCAACAAATCATATTTTGTTTCTTTGCAATGATTATAATCTCCTCCATGTACTACCAGTATTTACTTATCCCCTTTTCTTTTTTTTAAGTTTTTACTGTGAATTGAGTGATACTGGTTTTACACTCATAGTTTCATTGCAATGATTACAGTCTCTTCTGTGCATCATCATTCCAACAGTATTTGCTTCTATTCCGTTTTTTTTTTGTTGTTGTTGTTTTTGGGGGGGTGGGGGATGTATACAAAAACACTCAGGAATATATAATCGTTTAAACAACCAAAGGGCACATTCTGCAAGACTGCCTCCTGGCCACCAGCACACAGCCTTTCTCTTACTATGAGTCTAGAGTCCTCAGCTGCTCTCTCTCTCCATGTCATCATCTCTGTCTCCATCACTTGTGTTGCTGCTTCTCTGGATAGGGTCCCACAGTCCACTCATGCTCTTATCCCGTTATGGTCCTAGGATCCCCCTTTGGCTTTTCTAACTGCAGATCTTTGCACATCTATCAAAACACTTTACTTTGTCTTCTCAAGCTTCCCTTAGGTTTTTCTGTTCAGCTGTTGTACTTATTTCTTCCAGTCATTTTGGCTTTTTACATCAAGAGCAAGTTTCTGACATCCATTTTGGTCTTCTTTCTTTCCTTTTTTTTTTAATTAAATGTTTTTATTATGCATTGAGTGAAAGTTTACAGGGCACATCATCAGCTTCACATTCAACCATTCATATAGCTTGTTTCATTACATTGATTATTATCCC